GCACTCTCATGCATGAGAAGCGGGCTTCTTAAACCTCTGGGCCACCACATTACAACTAAAGAAAATGTAAAATGAAAATGAACATTTTTGGTATAAAACTAAAGCTATCTAAATTAAATATGGCATTTATTTTATAGATTGATTCTTAAAATCACTTTTATCAAGATGGAATATATAGTTACTTACTAGGTTAAAATAAAACAAATGTATTATTTTGAAATACTTTTATTTCATTGTATTCAGGTTGTTTCTAGGAGTACTTCATCTAAAAAGAGAACAGGCCGTGTCATAGGTACAGCAGACATCAATTGCTGATATCTGTAAACAAGTAAGATAACTGTAAATAAAGTAAACAAAAGTACATTTTTTTCCTTTAGTTTTATATGTTATAATAATAAGTCTGATTCCCTATCTTAAAATGGAAAAGATAAAAATAAATATTTGATTACATTACTTCATTTTATAACATTTATTATAGTTATTCGTATAACACAGATCATAGGAGCTCAAACAGCATGCTAATTAATAAATTATAATTATAACATGAGTATAAACCTATTAGAAACCGCTTATATACTCCACATAGATACATAATTATGTAGGTACATTATATTGAGAATGCATACCTGTTGAAGCTTTGAGAGCCGAACAACATCATCCGGCCTCATCTGTTCTACAAATGGCAATGTTAAAGTGAGGCTTAGTCCATGTTTACATAATACATTACTTCCTGATAGTGAACACTGTGAGGTGGTATGTCAGGTTGTGGTTTTATAGTTTCGACTCTTGTACGGTCTCTCAGTCAGTATGGAACATGATCTTCATCATGGGAAGTAAGCTAAAATAAGTAATATTATTAGAATATGATATTGACTTTAGATTACACTGTATATAGATAATAGTATGGTTAAATTATGCTTTATTACCTCTTGTGGCTGAATCCAATCAAATACTATATGAGCCAGTCTTTACTCCTGTTTGTTGGCGCCTTCAATTAAAACCCTGCGTCACCTTATCATTGCAATGAATCACCCATATACGACACAAACATGCCAGTGACCAATTTGTTTGCTGGACATACTTTCAGCAACATCCGATACATTGCTAATTGCCAGCAAGCATTGCAAATATGGTCGGTAGGAGAGATCTAGAATAAAAAGAATAAAATGATACATTATGGGTAGATAACACTATGCGCCTTCTTTTATTCAGGCAACATGGTGACTTTCGATATGTTATGGGTAAACTAGGTACTTACATCTCTAGGATAAGTCCACATTGGGATATTGTTGACCACGTCTAATCTTCACTCTCATTTTCTAGAGCATGCCGTCTCATGTGCGACAAACTCTGAATGCAATTAATACACTGTAAATTCATCATCGCGACAAATAACAACACACTGCACAAAACAATGTAAATAAGTGTCTTTTCGCAATTGTCACAACAATGATTCCAATAATACCAATTTGGGCTACGGAGGAACGGTTGCCAAACTCAACGTATCACCAGATGAATAAAATAACTTCAAATTCAACAAACACATCATAACATCGCATTTGAAACAAACAGCAATGCGCCAGTATTGACAAATTAATTGTCAATGTCATCAAGACAAATGCCAGTTCAACATTGCCATAATATTCAAGTTTGTTAAAATGTTAATTATCATTAATAATCCATGTAAACGTAGATTTAAATTGGATGTAGATTTTTATATTTACTTATAAAAATGTTTGAAATGGAAAGGAAAATATTTCATTGATAGATATTAAAATAAATGAGTTTATGAAATAGCGAAATTCAATATGCTCTGATTTCATCTTTACGCATGGCAACTTTGTAAACGTCAATCGCGGTTCGTTTTACGTATAGTGGATTGCTTTTTATCATTATTGAATATCAGTTTTTCTAGGGTTTCCCAAGTTTTAAAAATCTATTAAATATGCTAACATAACGTACTTAGGAGGTTCTATAATGACCCAATTTTTTAATGACAAATGTTTTTTTAGCGAAGCGGTACAAAATCTGCCGTTCTCCTTTGCCTTATCCACGGTAATAAAGGTAACTATATTATAAGTTTCGTGCAACATACTAAATTAAATACGTTTTTCAGCTTACTCGCGTAATTATTTGATGAGGAACTCGACTAGTTTCAAACCAGGCTCATATTCATGAGCAGCATTCCGCGACCTGCGGCGCGGCTACTGGAATCTATCTATATAAATAAAAATGAATTTCCGTTCGTTAGTGTCGCTAAAACTCGAGAATGTCTAAACCGATGTGGCTAATTTTGGTCTTGAAATGTTCGTGGAAGTCCAGAGAAGGTTTAACACTTGATTCCCGTTTGACCTCTATCCAAATAATATAACATGCATAGTTTATTAAGACACATAAATCAAATAATAAACAAACAATAGTTAGGTTAGGTTAGGTAGCCCCTAACTTTGATTTTCTCCTGCGTCGTGAATCAACGCAGATCAGGACAATCAATTGATCACACAAATAAATTATTATGAGTATTTAACGGCAAGTACCATTGTGACTTTTTCCGAGTTATATGTACTTTTTAAGATTATTTAGACACTGATACACTGTAAAGGAAACATTGTGAAGAAACCTAATTTTATAATTATTAATCATAAGTTGGAAATTGCCAACCAGCATTGAGCAAGCATGGCGATTAATGCTCAAACCTTCTCCGTGTGAGAAGATTCCTTTGGTCAGCAGTGGCCGCTAATAGGCTGTTGATGTTAATTTTTGAAAAACAAACTAGACGCCTTAGTGCTTATATACGTCTTATGATACTTAAAATAATTACATTAACGATAAAACCAATCGATGTTATCGCTGAAATCACAGCGGTAATCGACAAGTAAATAGGAGCTGATAATATTTATCTCTTAATGTAAATTTAATTGGGTACACAATACATAATAGGTAAGGCGCGTGCTACATGCTTTGGAATATTTAACTTATTTGTAGCTGTTTTTATATAATTATATTTGATGGGCCGACGTTTGACCCCTATCTCGCCTGGTAAGCGATGATGCGGTCTACGATGCATCTCGTCGACCCATAAACAACCTATTCACTCGGATCTTGAAGACATCCTGGTTATACCCTTTAGGAAATACAAAGTCTGGCAAAGAATTCCACTCCTTAGCAGTACGCACAAGGAGGCCTGATACGAAGCGCTTCGTGAGTGTGGGTGGGATATCTGCCATGAATCGGTGACGCTTCGCTGGTTTTTAGGAACTTTGGAACACCTGTAGAATTATTTCAACCTTTATTAGGCCATTTCCTTTAAAAATTGCAAATTTTAAAACTAATTTGATCTTACTCTTCCTTATACGGTGTCACAATAAATGAATACATATTTATTTGAACTGTTATCCTATCAATGCTCTTCAGTAAATCCGGTAGTTGAACGAAATGATAGTTACATAAATAATCCTGCTATATCACTTATTGATGCACTTTATGAACTTTTCATTTGTTGATTATTTCCGTATCAGGTCTTTCATTGATTTTGAAGACGTCTAAAATAAAATTTCTATTAACCATCGCTGTCGAAACTAATAAATTGATTTATACTCTTATATTAACGTCTAGCAAATCGCTCGCAAATTTTCCCATAATTCCGAACGCATCTTTACATGGATTGAATGTTTGCATTGAACATTATTTGCGCACCGACTAAGCGGCTTATAAATAGAACTGTAATATTCCCCTTAGATTTTTTTAAGGGATAATCCGGTAACCGAGCAGACGGATCCCTGATGGTAAGCAACGCGCGTCGTCCATGGACACCTGAACACCAGAGGCTTTACAAGTGCGTTACCGGCCTTTTGAGGATTAGGAATTGGGATTGTTGCGAATCTGGAATTGGGGAGATTGGGGAAGGGATAATTGGGCCTCTGGTAACCACAACGCAAGTTTTGTTTCACGTCGGTTTTCTGTGAGGCCGTGGTGTATCACTCAGGTCGAGCCGGCCCATTTGTGCCGAAGCATGGCTCTCTTACACTGTAAATTTACCACTTCATGCCCCACAACAAACAAATCTCTATTAGTATTCCTAGCACAACTAACAATCTAAGCGCGGCCATGGTCGGTCGCAAATCCTATAAGCAATGACCCTTGTGTATCAGTAGTCAGTACTTTTAGTGATTAGATAGCACACTGCGATCCCGTGATACAGTCATACTGACAGCTTATTGTTACTAAGAAACTATACGCTGATATCTGCTGACCTTCGAATAGTTCGTTCACTGATATGATATGCAATTAATGTCAGATGGATGTGTATCACATTGTTTTAACTTGGGATAACATGGGATGTAAAAAGTCTTCACGAAATGTAACCGATAAGCGGATATGACTATTTTTGGAAAATTACCCACTGTCCACGCATCGTCATGAACTATTTTTCTGACATAAATGACATAACTTTACGCCTTTTATCCCTGAAGGGGTAGGCAGAGGTGTACATTAAGGCACTTAATGCCACTGTACAATGTAACACCCACTTTTGAATATTTATGTCATGAGTCCCATGTAATAGGAGGTGAGCCTATTGCCATATACCGGGCACAACTCCAGACTCCGTGCTACTACTCAGAATTTTAAAAACTCGTAGTACTTTGCCCGACCCGGGAATTGAACCCGAGACCCCTTGCCCGGCAATCACACTTGCGACCACTCGGCCATCGAGGCAGTCATTTCTGTTTTAATTAGGTTCGAAGGCGTCACAAAACCAAAAAATGTATTATCCCTCCCTCAATTAATTATAGTATTACTTTACTGTCTACCTCCAAGGTAAACAAATGACCTACTAGAATGGTCTCAGGGAGCCGCTGGATGCAGGTCACTTAAATTAGCCAGTCCAGAAGTCATTGGGAACTTGGAAAGCCTATGTTCAACAGTAGATGTCATGTGGCTACTGTGTTTTTCTTTCCTATTTATAACGTCTATAACCAGATAATTTCCTTTTGTTTCAGCTGGAGCCTCTACATTAAGGATACTGCTGAGTTTTGCAGTGGGTGGACTATTGGGTGACGTGTTCCTACATCTTCTTCCAGAAGCGTGGCAGAATGATTTAAATAATACTAAACGTGAGTTATTTTTATCACCTACTGTTTATTTTTTTAGACTTGCAGGGAGCAATTCAAAATCAAAGCATTTATTTCAATTAAACCATAGTTTGGCACTTTTGAAACGTCAACAAATACAAAATAAATAATAGTCTGTCATTCAGTCCGTCAGTGAAACTAGGTGAAGCTAGGTTTCTTCTACAATATAAATCTCAATTCAGACAATAAATTAGGAGTAAAACGTAATAAAATGCATGTAGAACCGAGCGATTATTTTAAAGTGAAACGTTTTCTACAAACTTCAATAAACTTGATTTCTATCCGCTGACTAGAATAACTTCATACCGTAATGTAACTTGGTTGTCGCGGAGAACCTAACGGGTAACCGGGGCTCCGGCTCGACGTGCAGGAGAAGGAACGGGGTGGTTTTTAGTCAGTAAGAGTCTGACACTCCCTTCCGCCTCACCCAGGCGGGAGCAGTCATCCGATGATTTTGCCCCCTTAAAAAAAAAATTAACTTGGTTAAAAGATGCAAATATTATCGAATGTAAGTTGTTACTTATTATTATGACACAGTGTTCTGTGTCTTATATTCGAGTCTTATATCGATAACACAGTGTTTTATATTCATCTTACCAGATTTTGAGACCACTTAAGAAATTTTTTTGTTCCAATATCCTTCGAGATACGCATAAAAAGTTAAGAGCATTTTATAACTAGTTTTTATGGTTTAATAAAGAAACAAACAAGTTACTGCTTCCTGATGTTACACAAAACTACTGGCGCTCTTCAAAAACAGACAATAGGTGTCGTTAAACACAATGTCACTTCCTCTACATACAAACAATGTCTTTTGAATGAGATTCTCAGTTGCTATGAGAAAGAAATTAAGTTATTCTAAGCTAAATGATTTATTTTTCTTTTAAAGTGTAAAAAGAACTTCAAAAAGGTGAAAGAATCCTTATCTTCCTACTTGCTAATCGGGAGTCTTGATTACGTCACTAACTGTTGTTATTAGAGCTGCTCCTTTCGTCTTGGTTTACTGATTTAAACTGTCAAACACCAAGCGGTCACCGGTGACCGCGACCTATTGTTCTTTAATTGTGTCTATAAATACGGTACTCGACGAGTTAAACTATCAAGGTCAAAATTTCAAAACAGAAAACATTTTGGAATCTCAGAAAGTTCAATTTATTCACATCCAGGAACGTTTGAAGCGTAAAGTCAGTCTGACAATTAAATTATAACACTTTGTCAGGCTAATTGTTCCTCTAGTTGAAAGGTGAAGGCCTGTAAAAGAATGTTTAAAAATTCCAACGCAAATAATACAGTAGGTAGTAGTTGTATGCAAATAGATAACGCGAGTAAGTCCATTGTCAATGTTAGCATCACGTATATACTCGTAATTATTATACAGAGCTGAAGGTTTTCGCTGTCGATAAAAAAAGTTACATTGACAGTTTGAAAATATATATGCGCTATTTTGAAATATTTGAGATATTTTATTGTGTGTATGTAGTTATTATTCCTTTTTATGCAGAGAGAATTCACGCTACAGTATTATAATAATCAGTATTCTTGAGGTAAATTTGAATAGTTCTATTCCTAGTAAAACTCAGTAGCGACACCTACGGTTGTCAGAAATTTAAGATTGTCTCTCTGAACTCTCCAATGTCCTGAAATCCAGAACTGCGAGTTGCTTCCTATACTAACTACAGTATTTATCTAATTAATATTCTAGGCAACGCAAGTAATTCATTTAACTGCAATAATAATGCACTAAACATCTAAACAATGCTACAACTTTAATAGAAACCGAAGATGTAAACATGTGAACTGAACACTAGCGATCTGATTTCCGTATTTCCCACAATTTCGCTGGCTCGTCGAAACACCCGCATTGAATGACCGACGCCGTTCAATGTCATTGAAAACGATAACCTACTATACATTTATTGCATAGTGCATAATAGTGCTTTCGTTCACATTACACCCAGTATAAAGAACCACGGCAAAATATTGAACTAAAATCACCCATTTTCGCTAGTGGCGCCACTCCTAAAGGTAACATTAAACTGGTTTGAATGAGAAAAAATGCAATTATTTTCCTTATGATAAGTTTTAATTAATTATTGTTTATTTATAATTAAGTAAACAAAGATTGCAGTTGTTCTAATTGTTTATTTACTTGCTTATGTTGAGGTTTCGTGCTGCTAATCACTATATGTGGTTGCGGTCATTGGAGGAAATACCTTTACATTGTGAATCGAATTGCTTTTGCATGATGCGGTAGTAATATAAATACATGAACAGCTGTGTAACTCGGTGGACGAGGATGTTGAACTGAGCTAAGCAAAGATTGTGCATTCATAGTTACTATATTTACACTATCGAGATCCTTAATGAATGCATGACCTAATTTTTAATGGAAATGCCAGACCAAATTAATATGTGATGGATAGTTAATAAAGTTCATTTTTGTTTGGGTAGGTACAAGCCAGAATAAATTGATAACCATGTCACTAACGTCTTCGGTAGCCTAGTTATTCAGTCGGATCTAGTTAAGATTCAATAACCGATATTATAATTTTTCCTAGAAAAATGATTTATTCACACATGCAAAACATTATACTGAACCGTAAACACGAAACTAGTTTACGAAATAAATTATTTAGGTCATGCACACTCAATCGTAGCTAAAATTTTCAAAAGTTAACCCAATACGAAATAAACTGATTGTAGATATGATTAAAGTAATCAATATTAATCACTGACATAAAAATACTACCTAAATTCAAGTTGCAAATGTTTCAAGGCGTCGTGTTCCGCGTGCGCCTTAAAGAGCCATCAGACCACCATGGATGGGGGGTCGAATAGGGCTGATGCCGATACGGAGCCGCGGAGGACATAACGGGTTGCCTGGGCTCCGGCTCGAAGTGCAGGAGTAGGAACGGGGTGGTTTTTAGTCAGTAAGAGTCTGACACTCCTTCCCGCCTCACCCAAGCGGGAGAAGTTATTCGATGATTTTCACCCCTTAAAAAAATGTTTCAAGACGTAATCAACAATACCAATCAATGAAGAGATTATAAGAACATCGATTCTTATCGAATATAACACGAGTTAGGTAAAACAATCAAAGATAAATGCACTAAATTATAATGGTTTGTCATTCATCATATCATACCTAATCGTAACGAAGTACTCATTCCACTAATTTCTGATATAACAATGACAATCGTCACACGCGCACTTATTATATATCTACCTACAGAAGGTTGAGGTTTTGTGTCAACACGCACATGAATCAACATTAACTACTTTACGTCTATGTAAATAAAGTGCAAAGTCGTTTGTCTTAGACGGAAGTTTTGTGTTCCAACTCGATAGTAGTGCTATGCTGGTAGTAAAAAGTAAATATTATGAGTCATATGGTCGATCAATCTCGGTAACTATCCGTTGCAATTGTAATTATTTGTGTGTTTTATTGTTTACGTGTAATTGTATGATGAGACAAGATTATGTTGTTAACTCTTGGAGCTTATCACTATGCATACTTTTACCTATTTTTTTTTTATTGTTATCGTCTCATTGTGTATGTTAATGTCTAATGTTCGTTAGACTATAAAGTTTAGGTTTGATGTTCACATTATTATTTTTTGCAGTCTTTTCGAGACATTCTTACATGCATGATATAAAATTTGTTGGGCTCTTCGCAACAATTTCTTCAAAGGCATTTTGTACTGCCTTCTCGGGGATTGATTTATTCCCGCCAAGAAGTTTCCAAATTCGGGAAAAAGTAGTACCTATTATTGTTGGTATTTATAGTACACTAGCGACCGGCTTCGCGCGGGTGCAATATGCATGTATCATACATATAAACCTTTCTTAAAAATCACTCTAACTAATAAAAAAACTTCATCAAAATCTGTTGCGTTTTTTTAAAGATCTAAGCATACATAGGGACAGACAGACGGCGGATAGCGACTTTGTTTTATACTATGTAGTGATGTCACAAATCGTGTTTAATTTATGTCTCTATATCACAAAAATATTATACTTATCTACTATAAATATTTCTGGGTTAATTCTTTTAATTCTTCTTTCTAATTTTTCTGTAGTGAATTTGGAGTTGAACGTTTAATAGAAACTGACTAATGATAACCTGTTCGTTTCTTCTTATGTAAGTCAAATAGAAAATGCTAAACCAATAGATCTTCTTCTGTTAATTGCATTTCGTAAGGTGAAAATATTATAAATGCGCAAGGTTGTGTGTATGTTTGTTACTCAATCATATAAAAACGGCTGAAGCGATGGGAGTGAAATTTGGAACGTGTGTAGACTATGGTCTAAAATAACATATAGAATATTTATTCCACGGTGGCTAAAGCTAGTCTACTGAATACAATCGAAAAATTCCCAACCTAATTTCCTGTAGCTTATTATACGGACCTTGTGGAATCTAGAACAAATTTCCGTGCGTTTAGGCGCTTTTGCCATACCTATTATTGGAAGCAAGTATAACACCTCCCACATAGGACCCACTTAGTTTTTTAGTCAAATTTCCGTGGTGCTTGGCGACTGAGCTTCACCCAGTTGTACAGTCTCTTCTTTGTGCTTTTAGGCTTAATTCATTCTGTCTCCTGCAGTAATTCACCGAGGGAAGTGGAAACTATAGTTTTTTTTCTTCTTCTCCTCGTATAATATCTTTTGATTCATTTCGTTGCGGGAACCAAGACAGTTACTCATGTCCCTGGGACGCGCCGGACTTCAATGTTCCGGTGTTTTTATGGTTGTATCTACTGTAGATTCTGGCTTACAGGAGTTGCAGCGGTTTTGGGAGGTTGTGGCGGGCTTGCCCCATTATATAAAAAAAAACCTAATTTCCTCCAACATATTGTTACAGCCGGCGAACACGTATCCCTAAAAAGCGGACTATGGTGCCTCACAGGAATGCTAGTCTTCATCGTAGTAGAAAAACTATTCGCAGCAACAGAAAATGAAGACGAAGAAGAAGAATCGAAAGAACAGGAAACTGTAAAACAAAATGGTTCCGCTAAAATAAAAGAAATTGAAATAGAAGAGATTGAGAAACTCCTGAGAGTTGAGAGGAGGCAGAGAGGAAAGAGTATTGGTGAGGGAATCTGTGATAGCAATGGTATTGTGAGTGCCAAGGAGTTGTACGATACCTGTGTCTTCAATAATAATACTAAAGGTGAGCTTGCGTTTGTTTTGTTATTGATTTACTATCCAAGGTTAAGGCCAAGACTATAGTATCAATGTTATAGCGACTTAGTTTAGTATGCTATTACTTATTGTATTTTATATCGTTTATGGAAGACATGCAATACGAACTTTTTTCTGATAGTTATTAGGGCTTTCATCCCGGGAGTCTCGGGACCGAACCGAGTATCGATTTTTTCCCGGGACTTGAAAATGTATAGAGATTAGAGACTGAAAGCCTTAATTGCTACCAACAATAGCATATCCACATTTGCAATGACCTCCTATATGTATGTAGAATATTAAGAATGACATAAATCATGAATGGAATTTCTAGTTGTTTTGTGGTTTTGCGGTAGACCTCTTTGTCCTTCTATAATAAATATAACATAAACATTGTATGAAATCCTACCGTTCCAGTAATATTATAAATACGAAAGTTTTATATCTTTGTTTACTATCCAAAAGGATGAAGGGATCGGGATGAGGAACACATAGGCTACTTTTTAACACATAAGAACGTGGGCGAAAAAATCCAAACGAGATCGCAAGAATAAAATTAAAGTAAATAACTGCTGCTGTTCAGAAAATAATCTGTCCCTTTATCTAATGACTAAATAATAATATAGAAAGAAAGAAAATGCAGTTTTTTTAATAGCATAGTATACATATTGCATAGTATTACATGCATACGTACATAACTTCACGCCTGTCTTCCATGGGGGTAGGCTGAGACTATGGAACGCCAATTGCTACAATTTCTACATACCATCAATCGTATTAAATAAACAAGTAACAAACACATTACTAATTAACTAAACGAACGTTTGTTCTGATACAGGTGTATGCTGCAACTCGGTAGTGAACCAGAATGGGTCAGTCCGCTGCAACAACAAGGGCAACCGCTGGATGGGGCGCTGTCTGCTCAGGGAGGCAAGGGAACAAGCGCTCAAAGCCACCAAAGAGAAGAGTAATAAGAAAGATGTAAGTTGGTTATTATAATTGTTATTCTAACTTAGACTGCACGGTTGGTGCGGTGGCTGGGCAACCGGCTGCCATGCAACGTGTCGCGGGTTCGATTCCCGCCCGGAACAACACTTTGTGTGATCCACAAATTGTTGTTTCGGGTCTGGGTGTCATGTGTATGTGAACTTGTATGTTTGTAAACGCATCCACGACACATAGGATAATCCTAGTGTGGGGCAACGTTTTTAAAAAAGACTGAATTATGAAAATCTAGTAAGATACCGTCATACGTCATGATTAATAATTATTATAACGGCCTATAAATGCCCACTGCTGAGCAAAGCCTCTTCTCACACAGAGAAGGTTAGAGCATTAATCACCACGCTTGCTCAATGCGGGTTGGCGATTACAGACTTAAATTTAGAAATTATATGCCCAGGTTTCCTTACGATGTTTTCCTTCACCGTCTGTCAGTGGTGTCTAAATAATGTTAGAAAGTACATATAACTCGGAAAAAGTCACAGTACTTGCCGTTGGTAGGTTTCGAACCCGCACCCTCATGCATGAGAAGCAGGCGTCTTAAACCTCCGGGCCACCACGACACTCGAATTGAAGAACATTACATTATTACTAACCCTCTTTTCTACTTTTCCAGGTGGCAGGCTACTTGAACTTGATGGCGAACTCGATAGACAACTTCACGCACGGACTGGCGGTCGGCGGCTCCTTCCTTGTAGGGTTCAGAGTCGGCGTGCTGACCACCTTCGCAATATTAGGTATGTGGTTTTATTATAATCCTAATTTTTATAATATTGTAACTAAGTCGAGTGGATATTTAGGTCCCAGGTTCGATTCCCGGATCATGCAAAGTTTTACTTACCTAAATGTAAATAGGCAGTATTGTAGAGTCATCCACTACAAGGGACTCAGCCATTTATCCGGCAGTTCAAGTGATTTGCAAACACAAACAAACAATGATGCATATCCGTACATAAAAATTAAAAAATTGTAAAATATTTTTTGTGTAAATCTGACCCAATTACTCATAATATTATGTTCGTCATAATATTACAAAGGGTGGAGGTGAACTTGCACAATGTCCACATAAGGAATATAATACTCGTCAGTTAAATAATAACATAACATTACGCTTTTTATCCCTGAAGGGGTTGGCACATCTGTCTACCGTAATGCGGACATTACGGGACTTATTGCCACTGTGACACCCACTTTTCACTATTTATGTTAAAAGTCCCATATAATAAGAGGTTAACCTATTGCCATATACCGAACACAATTCCAGACTCCCTGCTACTACTGAAAATTTTTCATTAGCCCAGTAATACTTTGCTCGACCTGGGAATCGAATCCGAGACCCTTGCCCGGGACTCGCACTTGTGACCACTCGGCCAACGAGGCAGTCTCAGTTAAATCACTACATGCCTATATAGTATAAAAAATCGCTATCCGCCGTCTATATATGCTATGTATACTTAGATCTTTAAAACTACGCAACGGATTTTGATGCGGTTTTTATAATAGAGTGATTCTTAAGGAAGGTTTAGACGTATAATACATTCATATTGCACCCGTGCGAAGCCGAAGCGGGTCGCTAGTAATAATATAATTAAATGTATAATTTACAGTGCACGAAATTCCTCATGAAGTTGGAGACTTTGCGATCTTGCTCAAGAGTGGCTTCTCGCGGTGGGAGGCGGCTAAAGCGCAGTTGGTGAGTTAACAACTACTAATAAATATTATATGCGATGTCCAACCTGTCTACTAAGTGTGGAGATTATATCAACTCTTATCATGAAGAGGTCGTTAACCTCTCGCGTGTTTCTCGTACACACGGGTGTACGAGAGAGTTGAGTGCCCATCGCGCAATTGTACACACGGGTGTACGAGAAACGCGCACCGATTGGATATTTTTTCTGTGACGTATATTTTCAAGTTTGCAACCCGTTCCATAATTGATTGAACAGAATAGTTAATTCGCTTTTCTATTAAAATATTACCCGTGTGTACGAGAACACGCCTTTTTTCCGTGTGTATAGGGGCGCGCGAGAAGTTAAGCAAGCAATGACCTGTTGTTGATAATTATTAAGATTTTTAAATAATTTTGATTTTTTATACAAAATTCTAAACTACGTAATTAATCGTTGATGCTTGTCTAATTCCAGGCTACGGCCGCAGCTGGTCTTATCGGCGCCATGACAGCTGTGATCTTCAGTGGAGCCAGGAACTCTATTGGTAAGACATATATTTCACATTGCTACTATCTACTAAGACTCTCGTAATTTTTACTATTATGTTATATTCGTAAAGACAAACTTCATTAAAGTTTTGTAATTAAGCCAAAAATGCAGATTTTATAATCTGTCTGAAATAGAATCGTTACATATTTTTACTAAACGAAACTGGATTTCAAATCCCGTATAATTTAATATAATTCCTAAATATCATCTAACGATATTCGTAATAATTTACAGAGGCAAAAACATCCTGGATAGTCCCATTCACAGCGGGCGGCTTCCTCCACATCGCACTAGTGACGGTGTTGCCAGACTTACTGAGAGAACCTGACAAGATGCAGTCACTTAAACATTTGGGAGCTCTTGTATCAGGTATCGTCATCATGGCGTTCATGACGTACTACTTCGGATAGACACTTTCATAGTACTTGTCTTAATGTAGGGGCTTATTGGTAGACGGTAAAAAACTACCAGAAAATGGTAGTTTGTGTAAAACTTGGTAGAATTTTGTAAAATGTTCGCTGTTTGGTTATTACACGTGAAACTGGCGTTATATAATTATGAAGAAAAATCATGTTTTACCTATTTGACTAATTATTATGTTATATTGTATGTATGTATGTATGTATGTTGTAGTAAGACGAAATTATCTAACTTAAATTACAATAAGTACACAACACTCAAATGAGAAAATGTTAAGTTTCCTTTTTAACATCTACCTAAACAAATAAAAACTGGAAATAAAAATGAAATAAATTATGATAACACCAGTCTCACTCGAATTAAAAGCCGTAATACGAACCTTTTCAAAATATTATGTAACCACAACCTTGCCCGGGGCCCCTTCTAAGTTGTAAATAATGTCACAGTGGCTATAATAACTTAGGAATCATATATTTTTATATTCTTAAGATTATTCAACGTCCAACCGGACACTAAATGAGTATTAATATTTTTGAATTTAACTTAGACTGTGAACTTGTCGAAATTAAGTTAAAACTATACTTTAGGATAAGCTTATAAATACTCTGATAACGTATTTAAGTGATACGTAAAGTCTTAGTAACATTTTTACAGTTGTAACTGGCAACACTCACAGTGTTGCTAGCTTAAAAAAACTTCCTATTTTTGGTAGAAAATAAAAAAGTTCAAAGAGTCAATTTCCAAGTTTGTTTCGAAAATTTTCTAATAAGTATGTTTAAATTCTAATATTTTATTGAAGTAACTATTACTATTATGATACTAGCTGGCTAATATCAAACAATTGTGTACTCCACTATATTAATGTACAAATATAAATAGGTTATGATCCACTTATTAAAACCAAATCACACTATGTTATATAGTTTTAAGTTATTATTTCTAAGTAGTATTTAGTTTTAGGAGATACTATATCCTGCGATCTCCACTAATGTCATTAAAATATGAAAAAAAAACACTAAAAAGCGCTGCGTTCGGACCCATTATAATTTGGAATTAGATTTAATATGATTCAATCATGTTTTTGATTTATTATTAAAATGTAAATTATTGTAAATATTACACAGTTAAGGAACTTGTAAATGGATACTTATTGAACTTACATGGTTTTGTTGCAAGTAAAAGTTAATGCAAATATGTATACAAGATGAATCCACTCTGTTAAGATTATTTTAATTTTTTGAAATTGTTAATTGGTGTATAATTTGACTTATCTAATATATTATGTGTCAGTTGCGCTAACATAACTTTAATAAGGCAATGTTAAATAGACCCTAATTATTATAAATTGATTAATTCTGTGGCCCTAGTGGAAAAGGATCTAAGTTCAAAATTGAAGTATAATAAATTGAAAAATTACAAGAGACGCTAAAAACACGTCTTGTCCTTCAAATTCGTTAATTTAAACATCTGCTTGCATCTCTGGTTTTGTAGGTTAAATGATGAAACATTATTTCTGATCATACTTAACTTAACGCCTTATGTCCACAAAGAGGTAGACAGAGGTGCACATTACGGCACTTAATGCCACTGTACAATGTAACACCCACTTTGCACTATGTATGTTGTGAGTCCCAAGTAATAGTGAGTCAGCTTATAGCCATATACTGGGCACAATATCGAGACTCCGTGCTACTACTGAGAATTTTTTTAAAAACCTACACGGAAATCTAACCCGAGATTCCTTGCCCAGCACTCGTCCTTGCGACCACTCGGCTAACGAGGCAGTTTTTCTGCTAATCTTGTTAAAATTAACACATTTTCGACAAAATTGGACTTTTCCTTTTTTCACCAGGCCCACAGAATTTTCTGTCCAAAGAGTATCACAGTGTCCACTATAAAATATACTTTAGTCCCTTCTAGTTATAGTACAAACTCCACTGTTTAATTATTGTGATAGTTTTCTAGTTAACTAATATTTTTTTGTTATATTGTCAACTTGTATGAGTGCAGTTATTTACAATGGTGGTTTATCATGAACTTATTATTAGTAGACTTAATAACTTATGATTATAATAATGTTATTATAATGTTTCTAAATATGTACCATTTCAATGTAATAATAAATAATAAAAATTATTTATTGTCACTAAATTTCACATAGTTCTGTTACTATTAATATAACATCACGCCTTTTTTCCCGAAGGGGTAGGCAGAGGTGCACATTGCGGCACTTAATGCCACTCTACAATGTGACACCCATTTTTCACTATTTATCTTACAAAACTCATGTTTTGTTGATTTTCTTAAACTAAGAGCTACTGTCCACGTCGCATCTTTTGACGTATGCAATACATGCATCCTTCACATACAATAGGCGGACAACAAATGACAAATACTTGCAACTGCTTAGAAACACTGAAAACTATCCACAAAGAGGCAATGTAAAACCAGCCTGTCGTTGCAAGCATTCGTCAAATAATGAGAAGACCTAATAATTTTTGAAATAAATATAATATGGTTTACTAACTATAAGTTCACAATATTCCACCTATTCTTGTTATCCTGTTTATGTACATACATAATAACTCCGTAGTATACACTTAATCATGAACTGTAATGCATTTTAGTTAGATTTAGAAGTTTATCATAGATTGGTAATATTAAATTTAGGGTAAACGAGGGTGATAATAATATTAGACACGTGTCGGTCATTTGAAGTGAAATATTGAGTTGAACGTAATTTTCGAAATGTATATAACTTTTACGTACACAATAACCATTGCCAATCTATGCATACTTAGTATACGTAGCCAGTGCATTTAAATCAGTTTATTCAAATTGTACTACGACATTTCTATAATTAATGAATTAAGGTGCTGTCTCACCGGGAGCATTCGCCATTCGCGTGTAATGTAACGTTACAGATCTGAGCATTACATCAGTGAAGGAGGAGAACCGAGCATTACAATGCGCACCTTGTAATGATACAATGTGTAATATCTTGATACAACTTGTAATATCAATGTCTGACATCTTGCTATGAAATACTCACAAGTCGAATCTATATGTTACATTACACGCAAATGCTCGTTATTCAGAGAGGTATTATTGTAATGTAATGCTCAAAGCCGAATCCAATGTTACATTACACGTGAATGCTCCCGGTGGGGATCACCTTTAATAACAAGTTTAGGTCTTTTCTTGTCTTTACAACTCACAGATTGTACATAAGATTTGTAATACTTTAATTGGTCACGACACTGCACTTGTTATTTAATGATATATAATCGTGTATCTACAATGAGTAGCCATTAAAATATAATGTGATAAATAATGCCATTTACGAGTATTTTAGTCGTTTCTACGACTTTATTATTAAGAGAAAAATGTTAAAAGTCAATAAAAACGTATCAGTCAATGTTTTGTTTCATTTTTGGTTGCTTTCATATACCTACATCCTGCTAACAAATGGTACCATTAAAGCTAAATGAAATTTCAGTACTAATCGTTCAACTTATCAGTTGCATCGAAATATGATGATCTCAACCTGAAAAAGACTTTATTCTGATCGTGGGTTTTTATATATTAATACAGACTGGCACTAGTTAAATAAGCATTGTGGAAAAAAGAGTATTTTACTCTATTAGTGGTCTAGATTTTGGAGTACGCCTGCATGAGGACAATACTGTATTTTAGAGTACGGTTGACAATCACAGTTCCAGCTAAAGTTTTCGAGTCAATGATCCATAACCAACTATATGTCCAGATACACACCCATCTGACTGACGCTTAGTACGGCTTCCGCCCCAGTCGGGAAACAACGGGGAACTTATTGCAGTTAATGACGCAAGTGGTGATGCAGTTGGTGCTGGTAGGCAGGTGGACGTAGTTACCTAGACTTCAAAAAGGCATTTGATACAGTTGATCACGATGTCCTCCTTAGGAAACTTTCTGGAATAGGCTTTATACTACACACTCGTTAAATTCTTTTCCCCGTACTTTAGACACAGGCGCACATACGTGGACTGTGGCGGGCACTATTCTGAGCTGTATTACACGAGGTCCGGGGTTAGCCAAGGCAGTAACTTGGGTCCATTACTGTTTAATGATAAATGACCTACCAAACATAATAAATGGGTCGTTATGCCTACTTTTTGCCGATGACCTAAAACTCATACACGAAATAAGGGATAACGAGGACCATGTTAGTTTACAACACGATATTGACAGAGTCATTGAGTGGAGCCGGGAATTCAAGTTGTATTTCAACGTGGCTAAATGCTCAGTTCTGTCGTTGACTCGTGCAAGCAGTCCCCGTCACCGCCAGTACTCCGTGGAAGGGTAACCGTTGCAACGCGTTACGGAGGTGAAAGTTTTAGGAGATCATTTTGTATTAGAGTTACATTTTAGGAAACACATGGTTGTCTGCAAGAAGGCATACCGCAATCTAGGTTTTATTTCACGTCAGGCAAACGAGTTTAAGAACATCGCAGCTCTGAGGGCGGTGTACGAAGCTTTAGTTAAAAGTCACTGGGAATGCCACGTTGACGTTGGCCGAGTGGTCGCAAGTGCGACTGCCGGGCAAAGGATCTCGGGTTCGATTCCAGGGTCGGGCAAAGTATTACTGGGTTTTTTCAAGAAATTCTGAGTAATAGCACGGAGTTTGGAAATGTGCCCGGTATATGCCAATAGGGCTCACGTCGTATTACATGGGACATGGGAATCATAACATTATTAGTGAAAAGTGGGTGTTACATTGTACAGTGGCATTATCTAAGTGCCTTAATGTGCACCTCTACCTACCCCTTCGGGGATAAAAGGCGTGATGTTATGTTATGTCACTGGGAATGTAACGCCGGTATCTGGAGTCCACACGAGGACAAATATAATAGAACGTATACAAAATAAGTTGGCTAGATTCGTATATTTAAAATCGGACGGTGTATACCCAGGGTACCCAATACCTACTATATCCAACGTTTTTCGTACTGGGTATGGTAGGATATTACTAACTGGAAGTGAGGCGTAACGCACCACCCTGCCCTACTGGAGGAATTACGGCTGTGTTCCGGACGAGTACGTGCGGCATAGGCGGCGGCCGCGGCAGCTGACGGTGCCGTGCGCACGCACTGACCTCTTGCAGACGGCACCAATGACGCGAGCGTTGCGCACAGTACGGGGTAACATATGAGGTTGTTGTTAGTAATAACTAAGTTCCTAGGATTTGTACTTTATTTGATTCTATTTATTTATTATGTACTTAGATCAGGGCTGCCCTAACAAAGGCTTGTTTTCATGTGGCCCGCGACACACATTTTGATCTCAACATCTTCATCTTACGTGCAACAATAATAATAAAATTCAATGTGTGATTTGTATGCAAGTTTAGTCAGTGATAGATTTTAAAAATATGTTCTTTGTGCTTATATTCTTTTGTTTTTCTTTTTCCAAATTATTTTACGTTTATTATAGGGATGTAATACCTGAGGTAGTTAATGTTGATGAAGGTTATTACAAATAAAGAATTGTAGCAACAAGAGTCAAAATACTGGCAAAGGGTGTAGTTTTTCGTGGATTACACATAAGTATTTGTAATTTAAAAAGTAAATTAGTTTTATTTCTTTATTTAAGGACAACCAACAAAGCATACACCAAAATACATGATAGGTTTTTTAAAATATTTTAAATCTATAGCCTTGAAGGCTTTTCTCTGTAGCCTTAAAGGCTGCCACGACATGCATTATAAAAAAACAGGAGATAACAACAAAAAGTTCGTTTATCAAAAAAAAGACAACATGTTAAATTAGTTAGAATCTTCTGCATATTTTTCTGATAACTGTTGGAACCTTGCCTATTATCTGGTGCTATTTGATAGTCGAGTTCAAGGACACTCTGTGGCCTTGGTAATGGTCCTAAAGATTTCAGCCGTGCATGTATAACCGACAGGCAAGCCCTAGCGTGTATGAGTTAAACTGTACAGTTATCTGTGCATCGGTTTTGTTTGTCGGTTTTGCATGCAAAGTTATAACCATCATGCAAACACTAGCGTGTGTGGCCTTCTTAATAATTGCATAATATTTGGTGATGTAGGGATCTGGTGGGAATGACATTAGCACAAAGCGGGCCCACTACTAAAATAGTCTTGGCGAAAACAAAGTGTAACACAAAACTTGGCGAGGTACTTACGAATAGCTATATATTGTTGGAGAGCTCAGGAAATAATAAAAAACACATACATTTTTGATTTTCATTTATTGCTCACGTAACAAAGTAAGTATATTGTACAATGAGTCTATAATTATAATTTTACATGCTAAGTCAATATATCTAACAGTTCGCTTTGATAATCAAAGTCTAGTATTTTGAACAAAGAAAATCACGATATGAGGTACAAATTGTAGGAAACACACTAAAACTTTTATAAAATGGACAGAATCATAATTACTTTTCATTTAATATTAAGCAAAAAGCAACTAAAATTGTCTTTTAATAATGACTTAGTAACACGTGGTCGGGGTTCAAGAATACTTGTGTTGAGGTTGAAATAAAATGGCACTGCGTGATAAAAAAATGATATTTACAATTTGCCGACACATTCGATAATTAGCAACCATAATTTTATATCTAAGTGTCTTTATATACTACATAATATAGATTATATCGGTTGAATACTATAAAAAATCGGAACTACTTCTTCATCATTCTTAACTATTGGGATATAAAATTTTAAACGTTTGATATATTATTACGAACACTTACGGCTCATCATATTTTAATAAACTAATTTGCCAGGGCTTTTTTAAGGGGGGAAAATCATCGAATGACTTCTCTCGCCTGGGTGAGGCAGGAGGAAGTGCCAGACTGGCAGACTCCTACTGACTAAAAACCACCCCATTCTTACTAATACCCTTCGAGCCGGAGCCCCGGTAACCCGTTAGGATCTTCGCGGCTCCGTATCGGCATCAGCCCTATTGGGCCCCATCTCTGGTGGTTTGATGGCTCTTTGAGGCGCGCGGAACGCTCGGCGCCGTACGGTCGGACGGGGCCGACCAGAAACAGACCCGACCCATGCTCGTCGTCCGCAGGCCCGCGCTTACGGTGGCCGGAGATCGTCCCGCGATCGCGGACGAGTGTCCTTCGTGATGGCTGGGTTGCGAGGAGGCAGCACTTCGCTGCCTCACGCGTCCCGCCTCCTCCTTAGCTAGCATGACTGCTTCGCAAAAGGAGGAGACGGCATCCCAGTCCCCCTCGCTCCGCATCATGGCCTGCACTAGGCCCGGACGCGAGAGGTCGCCATCGCCGATCACGCCCCCGAGGGCACGGCGGTGCTCAGCCCACGCAGGGCATTCCTCTACTGTGTGTTCCTCCCGCCCTATCAGACACAGGTACCTCCCGAAAATTCCATGTCCGTTGAGGACCTTCATCAGGCGGTAGGTGAGGACGCCGTAGCGTCTCTCAAGCCACTCCTCAAAGAGGGGACTTACCGCTGCGATGGCAGCGAGCCCAGCCCTCGGTTGCGACAGTCGTTGCTGCCATTCCGCCATGAGATCACGCCGGAGCTCATCCCGCCTTATCTGGCGCGGCAGCGGAGTTTCGCCCCGGCGACGTGCCAGGGTACGAAAATTAAAAATCTAAGTAGTCCGTCAGTTAGATGATGAAAAAATAATAGACACGTATTTTTTTGTTTAAAGTTACAATAGTTAGATAAAATAGAGTTAAGAAGTGGGAGGTAGATACGTCACAAAGTGCTACAAAATGTAGCACGAGAGACGTCTCGTGTTCCAAAAATTATTGGAAATAAATATAAGAAAAGGAAAAATACCTGTGTAATGTTTTAAATTAAATTAAGATTGATGACTGTTGATGAAGCGAAAGAGGTATGTAAGAATCGTAATTATCCATAATCGCTGAGCTCCATAATCGCTGCGCTCCATAATGTATGTATGTTTTAAACTAATCTATCAGACGGACATTAAAATAAAATTTAGGAAACTACCCTATTATTATATTACAGTACCCTTATTGCATGGTATTACAAAACTACAATAAGAGATTCGATAGGCCTTTTATATTTATTAATTGTTTGATGAATACAAAATATGTAAACAGTTTGTGGTAAGCTAAAAAATGAAAAGGTGTATTCATTATTTATGGTAGAAATAGAACATCGCTATTAAAATAGTAGATGTGTGCAGTAATGATAATAAGTTAAAGAATCCATTATTAGACATAGACAAAATAATTGGTATATGCATTGACTTTGCAAATATGTTGGGTAACAAACTGTATTAAAAATTACTATTACCTATTTATTTTATTTAATATTTAAATAATACTAAACAGAAATATTATAGGAATACTGAAACGTTACTCAATTTTAAGTCGTGCTTAAATATCGTGCCGTCTCTGTCATTTTACAAAGAATTAGTGGAGACAGAACTATATTTAAGCATGACTTAAAATTGAGTAGCGTTTGAGTATTCCGACAATGGTATGGGGACTTATATTTCTGTGTACGAGACAAGCAAAACAATTTGTTGTGTCAATTAAACTGTAAAACACCGCGAGGACACCGGTGACCGCAACTTATTGTTCTTTAATTGTGTCTATAATGACGGTACTCAAAGGGTTAAAGCCCGGAGATTAAAATTTCACCTCTTTTTTTAAGATTCCAAGAACATGAACTAGTTTTCTACATTCCAATATTTATAAAATGTCTTTTCATAGAATTTATTTCCAAATGAGTATTTAATTTAAATTTAAATTAAACAGACCTTATTATTAATAAAACGATATCCGCTAAGCCAATCAAATTGAGACACAGTTTAATTTTAAAATTAGTACAAGTATCTGACAATGATAAATGCTGGTAGGTACCATACAGTATAAATGTGTATGTACATTGTACAATGCTAAGACTTTACATTACATACACTTTCTCGACGCGTTTCATACAGAACACCTCTTTGGTCTTGGGGCAGATGATGGAACCGTGCTCCTTCATCATTTCTTTTAGGGCCTGCAAAATAGAAAATTATTATTTAGACAAAATGAGCTAAGAAAATGATATTGTTAATGAAAATTTAAGTTTTATTTCAGGCTAGCTTTTCGCTAGCAACTATTTAATTTATGTTTTGTTGATTATATCCCAATTTTGTTTTATTTTTTGAAGTCGGTCAATAGGAGTCTATGTGATATTTCTGAAAAAATAAGCTTTGTGATGTCGAAAACTATTTTTAAATACATTAAAAAACATACATAACTTCACGCCTTTTATCGCGAAGGGGTAGGCAGAGGTGTACATTACGGCACTTAATGCTACTGTACAATGTAACACCCACTTTTCACTATTTATGTCATGAGTTCCATGTAATAGGGGGTGAGCTTATTGCCATATACTGAGCATAACTACAGACTCCGTGCTACTACTGAGAATTTTTAAAATCCAGTAGTACTTTGCCTGACCCGGGAATCGAACCCAAGACCCTTTGACCGGCAGTCACACTTGCGACCAGTCGGTCAACGAGGCAGTCTTAAATACATTAAAGTTAGAGCGAAATATATATTGTAAAAGAGTAGTAGAGCGGTACCTTCTCCCCGTAGACCTGTCCGTTGGGCAGCACCATGGGGTGGTTGTGCTCGTTGAGCGGCGCGCGCGAGATGCGGCACAGCAGGCGCGAGTGCGACACGTGCGCGTGCGGCAGCGTCGCCGCCAGCGTCGCCAGCGGCGGCTGGCACGCCGGGCACGCCGCCACGCGCGACGCCGCGCTGTAGCACATCGGCGTGTTCAGCGCCGCCAGCCCCAGCTGCAGCGCCACCGGCAGCGCCGCCAGCCGCGCCGGGTGCAGCAGGCGCGAGTGCTCCCAGCGGAACTGCTTCACCAGCCCCTCCCAGCGCCCCGGCTGCAGCAGGCTGCGGTAGGGCTCCACTTCTGGAACAGAATACGTAATGACAGAAGGATGAAGGATTTTCTGAGTTTATTTCGGCACTAGCTACTTCCGCGCGGTTTCACACACTCTGCTCAACTCCTATTGGTCGTAGCGTCTTTTATAGTTTATAGCCGTCCTCGAAAAATGCGCCATCCAACACAAAACTATTCAAATCAGACTTATAGTTACGGAGATTAGCGCGTTCAAACAAACAAACAAAAATACAAACTCTTCCGCTTTATATAATAAGTATATAAGATTTCTTCTCAGAGTACTTAGTTAGGGAATGTCGGCCTCATCGTTCGCTTGATAAAATTGACGTGTAAAAGTACTGCCTCGTAGCCCATTTAATATGTTTTCTCATTAACTGTGTCTTCTGTGTCTTATATGCTTATTACTATCATTATAACGAGTTAAAACATAAACAATAAAATTCAAATCAATATTTTATCTAAAATAGTTGTTAATAAAACGTTATTTCACTACTATTATTTTGTAATAACTAACTATCGTGAGACATACTAAATTAACTAAAATCGCGGATTACTCACGTAAATATACGGTTGTATGTTGTAAATGTGGTTCGAAACTAGTAGAGCTTTTCTCAATTATATTGACGTGAGTAACCCGCGATTTTAGGTAATTTATTATTATTTTATTTATAGTGCGCGCCGAACTAGTTGGCGGCGCTTTAGGTGGTGACACATACCTAAAGCACTGTAACAAAGACCATACCTGTGTCCTTGGGGAAGGCGAGCATGCCCATGCAGTGCTGTATGTCCTTAAGCTGGTCCTCCTCGAATGTGGAGAAGTGCTTCTTCGCGTATTTGACAGCTTCCAAGCGTTTGTCCTCGCGAACCAACTCTATGAACTCCTGTAAGAATTATATAAAATGTAATCAAGATATCTAACAACGAATCAGACATGAAAATGTAACGCCCATCATGTCATTTTCATTTGTCGGGCAATACTGCTCAAGACTATGAACCCCTCGCTTCGCTTTGCTTGAAAATAGTCTAGTGAACTTATTACTTCTTACAATTTTAAATCAATATTTAACAGAAATTGAACACCTCTCTACTTCAAAATCTATATCTATATGTTACAGCCAAAGTGAGTTATTTGATATTATTCATAATGACTGGTAATTATACATAATATCTACAGAATATTGTCAGTGATAATTTTTAGGGCAGAAGCCGGTAAACGAGCAGACGGATCACCTGATTATGGTTGTTTCCTAAATTTTGTTTTAATGTCCGTCTGGCAGATTAATTTAAAACTTTAGACACGTATTTTATTCTTTTCTCACAAAATTAAATACTTTCAATGGTATATTAATTTGGAATATCGTGGAGACGTCACAGTGTGCTACATTTTGTACCACATTGTGACGTAACGACCCCCTACTCCTAAACTTAACGCCATTTTATTTTTGCATATACGAGAAAACAATATTTTTTCATTATCTAACTGACGGACTAATTAGATTTTTAATTTCATACCAACAACTACCCTAATCCTAAACTATAATAAGTTCTAATTTCACAATACCTGTATCCGTATCTTGAACTCCATGGTAGAGTTGAGTTTCCTCAGCTTGGACTTGTTGTCGGCGCACCACTGCAGGCAGCGCGCGGTGCGCTGCGAGTTCAACTCCGCCTCTACTTCGGCTGCTACCGTGTAGATATCTACAATGGGAACAGCAACTATTAATAAGAATAACTAGCTTTTACCCGCGGCTTCGCTCAGGTCACAAAACGATAAAAGTAGCCTATGAGACATATACCAATACACACAGCGCCATCTATACCAATAATTTCGTTTTCTCTCTAGAATATCAATTTTTTTCGGGATAAAAAGTACCCTATTATTTAATCCAAACTTAGAACTTTACGTCTGCAAAAATTTAAAGCAAACGGTTTAGTAGTTACGGCGTTAAAGTGGAACAAACAAACAAACTCACTTTCCGATTTATAATATTAGTACGGAGTACGGATAGTAAGGATAATCTACTGGAAGAAGCAGTAGAAAAATCATTCAGAAGAAAGTTATAAAATTAATTAAAAGACATTGACCCAATAAAGCTAAATGTCATGTCCTCAGTCCTATTCTCTTTTCAAAGTGAAAACTATCCTGCGTAGGACATTCTCACGGAGTTAAACTGCAGTATAAGCACAACATATTCAAATCAAAATTTTACAGTTTAAAAATTAAAGAAAAATAAAAATTTAAATTTAACAATTGTGATTGAACATGATGTCTTTTTTTTGATAACCGAACTTTTTTGTTTTTTAATATCCTGTTCTTTTATAATGCATGTCGTGGCAGTCTTTAATTAAGGCTACACTATAGAGTGTTAAAATATGTTAAAAACCTGTCTTGTATTTTGGTGTATGCTTTGTTGGTTGTCCTTAAATAAATAAATAAATGCTTCTCAAAGTCAACGGGTTATATTTGACAAGAACAAAGTGGCTGCACAGTTGGCAGGGTGGCTGGGAAACTGGCTACCGCGCAACGTGTCGCGGGTTGAATTCCCGCACGGAACAACTCTTTGTGTGATCCACAGATCGATGTTCTAGGTCTGGGTGTCATGTGTATGTGAATTTGTATGTTCGTAACCACGACACATGAAAATATTCTAGTGTAAAAAACTGTATAAATAAAAATGAATTTCCGTTCGTTAGTCTTGCTAAAACTTAAGAACGGCTGAACCGATTTGACTAATTTTGGTCTTGATATGTTCGTAGAACTCCAGGAAAGGTACTTTTAGGTAGTACGAGTAGTTTGCCGGGTCAGTTAATAATAATTAACTTCAAACAAGGAATGTTAACAATAACATTTCTTGTTTATGCCATACAAATGTTACTTACCAACATTAGTAAGCTCCCTCAGTCCCCTAGCATCAGCTAGTTTGTTAGCCGAGTCATAGTAGCCGTTGCGCAGGAAGTACTCGACGAGCATTCTGTCCAGTCGTACCTTGCGCCACTGGTTCAAGCTCGTCTGCGATGTGAATGAAAATTTGTTAGGATATAGATTGCAACTTCCGCATGTGAGATTCAAGATCATGAGAATAGATAATACAGTCATCCATATATATAACAATGGAGACCTTGTAATCCTGAAAGAACAACATTCATCATTCTTTGAAATGTGGAAGGAGCATTTTTCAGACCGAAAGGCATTCTGGTAAATTCAAATTGACCTGAAATGCTATTGGTAAAGACAATGTACGTGCAGGAGAAGGAACGGGGTGGTTTTTAGTCAGTAAGAGTCTGACACTCCCTTCCGCCTCACCCAGGCGGGAGCAGTCATTCGATGATTTTATCCCCTTAAAAAAAGCCTTAGTACAAATATAAGTTATTTATAATATACATAACTGTTCATGCAACTGGTGGTAGCCACGTAGCCAGTAAACCTCGTGAATTATTTCACTGTCTATAATTAAGTTTACAATCCATATAAATAAAAAAGAGTTTCAATTCGTTAGTCTCGCTAAAACTCGAGAACGGCTGAACCGATTAGCCAATTTTGGAAAATGTTCGTGGAAATCCAAGGAAGGTTTAAAAGGCGAGATAATTTTTTTTAGGCGGAACAAAGTTTGCTTATTTAGCTAGTAAAAATTAATTATGCCATCACATGGTTAAATTTTCATTGTATATCACTTCTAGTATTTTTATACATTTTATATATATTATAAAGGAGGACGATCATCACTCGCGTCCGTAGGACTTGCCACCATTTCCTAGGCCCACTCTACACGTGTCCCCCGGGTGGTGCTAAACGAGTAAAAATGCCGAGTCTCTGGCGGCGCTAAATGAACCAGACCAATCCAGACCTAACCCGTCTGTTTAGTGTAGGTAGGAAATGACCTCCACAAACTGTAACCCTGTGCTCATATTTCATTTCCTCGGACCACACAGCTATTATAACGAAACAAGTGAATTTATTTCTGCAAATACAAGGCAGCACTTTTACACGTCAATTTTATCAAGCGAATGATGAGCGGATGAGGTCGACATTTCCTAACTGACTACTCGGGGCCTTTAGCCAAACGCCACTTTACCGCTTGTCGACAGAGAGAGTAGAAATCAAAATGTATGGGGATGACACTGACAAGTGTCAAAATTTACGTCAATTCCATCTGGACACTGGCAGTATAGTCGACAAGATCACTTTGGAGACTCGTTTGCCAAAGAGAGAAAAAAAATAAAAAATAATTTGGTTTTCTATTCTACAAGTAGACAAGCGCTAAATGGCATTTGGCTACAGCTGCTGAGAAGAAATGCCGAAACAAACTCAGAGGTCCCTTTTTTAAAGTCCAGACAAATATGTATAAAAGATTATGTGTGAGTACCGTGCAAGTTCTTTCTGTAGTGGCCTTTTAAGGAAAGAACCAGAACAGTTTGAGCGGACCCGTTCTGAAGGCAGTACGCATGTGTCGGTTTACAGTCAGCTCAATTAACAGGTGAGGCTGACTGATTCGACGAACAATAAAGAACATTTGCGTGGGTCGCACAAATACACAAACTGTCAGAATATGAGTAATTAGAAAGAAATGGCGAGGCAAAGTCTCGCACGGCCCTAGCACTAACAATTGTAAACGAAGCTCCAAAATGAACTCGTGGAAGCTGTCAGACCCTGCAAACTGCACTCAAAGAACACCAATTGGGAACTTTTTAGAAAAATTGTAGAAAATACACTTAACGAACGCGTTCCTCTCAAATCAGACGAGGACATTACAGCAGCAGTAGAGATCTTTAACCAATGCATCCAATCGGATGCTTGGGACGCCACTCCGCTCAGACGAGCTTTGAATACTATTCTCTTGTATCCGCAAATTGTTACGGATATAATATAAAGAAAGAAACTGTGGCAACAAACTCGACACTCTAGTGACAAGGAAAAACTTAACTGTCTAACCAAGCAAGTGAAAAATATCATCTTGACGATAAAAAACAAAAGCCTGGAAGATCGTCTGTCTAAAATGGATGCAACATTTGCTACTGATTACTCGCTTTGGAAAGTGACCAAATCCCTGAATGAACCAATTGAGTTCCAATCACCTTTACGATGGGATGACGGCTCTTGGGCTAAAAGCGACACAGACATTCCACACTGTTTGCAGAACACTTGTCAAGAGTATTTACTCCAAATCCAATTTCGGGTTCAACAAAGGTGGGTGAAGTAAAAAAGAGGTTACATCTATAATCAGAAAACTCAATCTGAATAAAGCGCCTGGTTATAACCTTGTTACATCTAAAGTGATGAAGTACCTCCCTCACAAAGCAATAACTCTATTTATAACTCAATCTTAAGATATGAATACGTCCCTGCTAAATGGAAAGTAGCAGAAATTATTATCATTCCAAAACCTGGGCAGGATCCGGAAAATGTATCATTATATCGACCGATATCCTGCCTGTTGCCTCAAAAATAATAAAAATTCTTATGTTAAAACGACTAACTCCAGAGCTTGCGACATCTATCTCATCATCAAATCATACCTCCAACAACGACATTTCTATGTAAAACATGGAGAAGTCAGAAGTAATCTTTATAAAATCCAAGTAGGTGTTCCTCAGGGCAGCGTAATGGGTCCTATATTATCTAATATATACTTTTGAACTACCAACTTCCCACGACGTCCTCGTAGGGACATTCGTTGATGATACTGCTCTTTGTGTAGCACACGACTGTCCCGTGGCTGCGTCTGACATGCTGCAAAAAAGCCTTAATGACGTTTCGGCCTGGTTAAGGGATTGGAAAATAAAAGCTAATGAATCCAAATCTGTACACGTAACTTTCACTCTCAGACATGCATCATATCCCCCAGTTGTTTTCAATAGCATAACAATTCCTCAGTTGGACGACGTGCGATACTTGGGAATATACTTGGACAAATGGTTAACTTGGAAGAAGCATATATTCACCAAAAGGAAAGCTCTAAGTACACAACTTCGCAATCTTTACGGGCTCATGGCAAGTCAAACCCGTCACTAAGCAACAGACTTCTCCTCTATAAAGCTAAATTAAAACCAATATGGTCATATGGATCAGAACTCTGGGGAACGGCAGCCAACTCGAACTTGGACATTATACAATGCTTCCAATGATTGCAAATGCTCCATGGTATATAAGAAATACCCAATTATTCTCGTCGCATAAGGTGTCACCCCAACGAGCTTGCTAGTGAGCTTATGAAATCTGCCTTTAAGCGAATCAAAAGGAGAGCTCTACAGGACCTTCTGCTATCGCAGCAACAACATCTAACTTGAGGGATGCAATAATTGAAGATGGGTACACCACTGGGCGTTTCTCCGTACATGTCACAATACATGAACCTCTTGACTACCAGCTAAATACCCAACTGGGCAGCTTGCAAGGAAATAAGGAGAAAAATTTTTTTTTATAAGATTGAACTTGATTCTTGATTCGATTCTTGATTGAAATTTACTGTAGGGACTTAGAACACATTCAACATGGTACAGCTCAGTCAATCAGTTATATGTTTATTTACTATCCTGATGGAACAGATCCATTCTTTTTTTAAGATTATTCTAATGTTTTGATTATCTATCATTCAAAATTTTCTCATGCAAAGACAGAAAAGATCATTTAGAAGGAATCTAAAACTGAACCAGCTACTCTTAGTATTTTCAACCTCCACTTACTGCTAAATGCTGTAAAATACCATACGTTAGGTACTTCATTACACCATCACACCACCTACCTTGACCTGTGGAGTGCTGGGCTCAGTAAGTGCGGCTGCTTGTTCCTTCAGGTGCTCCAGCCTCTTCTTGCAAACATAAGCGGCTTGCACCTCTTCCGCAATAGCTTCAGATGCTTTACGCTTCATTGTTGTCAGTTTTTCAACCTGAAAATGTATAAAATAATTAGTGGATTAATCGACTAGCGACCCGCCCCGGCTTTGCATGGGTGCAATATGCATCTATTATACATATAAACCTTCCTTAAGAATCAATCTATCTATTAAGAAAAAACCGTATCAAAATCTGTTGCATAGTTTTAAAGATCTAAGCATACATGTGGACAGACAGACAGCAGATAGCGACTTTGTTTTATAATATGTAGTGATAATGTTTGTTTATTAATAGGTGAGCTGTAAGCGTTATTACTATTAAATAATAGTACCCAAAAATACTGTAAAGATCCTTATGAAATAGTGTATGTAAAATCATTGTCAATATTAACTATTTCTTTGGTCATCCTTACCATGCCACCAAGAAGAGTATCAATCTCTCCGGAAGTCACTCCTTGCTTCTTCGTAGCATTGTCTACTTCGGTGGCCACAGTCCCCACATGACGGGCCTCCACGTCAAACACACGTTGGGCATTGCGATATCGTTTGTTGAACACTTCATACGGCACCTAAAATGGTGTTTATATTTGTATCTATTTAGATAAATTACATATCAAGTTTTTTCAACCTTATAAACATTGTACTTATTATCTACAGTAAGTTAAACTTTATTTCACGACTTGAATGACAAATTAAATCAATTTGGTTTGCAAATGCGTACTTAGTAGGCCACAAGAGTTATCTTGGTCAAAGGGTCAGTCACTTCATTCAAATCAAATGTTATCAGTCGAATTATTAAATAAGCAATGTACACTAAACTATTTTTAATTACAATATAAATAATAGCCATATTGGGATGATCAATGCAAACAACGATAAAGTATCATGGCTAACTCTTAGGGCTAAATTTACCTTCAACGTTGAATGTTCCAAAGACCTTATTTCGTTCATTTTTCGTTCGTTTAAAATTATTTTTTTCTATTTTATCCTCTTCAACACGTCACAAAGTCTTGTAATACAAGAAGCCTCGTGAGAACCTAAGAAATGAAAACAAAACTCAGCTGATTGATCAATGGATTACAATGCAAAACATACGTAGCTATGAATTTAACAAAATATACAAATTTAGTCAAACTTTTAAACGAAATAAAAGTCTACGTGCTTGAAATAACTACAATATTATTTAATCACATTAACAAAAACTATAATTTCACAATGCTAAGTCCAAAAAATATACGAAACCTTTTTACGATGAACACGTAAAAGATAAAAAGACAATTACGAACTACGAAATGCCACAATGCCAGAAAGAAACATTTGTTTTGTCTTTGTGCGAGTGAGATGAAACTACTTGTTTTGAAACTTGATACCCAAATATTAATACTTAATACTTACGCTTGTGTGGTGCATTTTTGAAGACTTCACTAATTTTATAATAAAAATGAAGTAATGAATCTCAAGTTAGAGAAAATATATTTTCTTTAAATTCACTATTTCTTATTTTTATAAAGGTATTTTAATAAATATCAATTTGTTAGTTTATTAAAAGTGTTTATATTTTTGTAATATTTGGATATTCGAACAGATTTCATCCACAGACTATAACAAATAAACCATAGAGTTCGAATAACTCATATTGTACTCTTCTATAAAAACAATAAAAAATATTTTATAGACAGCTTTACGCCAACCAAGCCAATATATTAATAGGCAATTATGCATGCTAAATAAATTAATAAAGATATTTTCGGTTCTGGATTTTTATTAATTCTAGAATAATTTTCCGTAAATTCTAGACTTCTCTATAGTTTATTCAAATAAATATTCATATGAATTCATAGCAAGTATTTTAAACATCACGAAAAAAACAAATAATAATAAATTATTCAAAAAATCTTCTTCTTTCGATCGATTATAAATCGATGGATTTTTTCTTATGGCTATGACCATAGACAAAACTTTAGTCCATGCGTTTTCGGCGCGTCAGCGCGTCACTTTCATTACGCAAATCCGCCATTTTGTATGTAGCTGGCGGTGCTTCACGGTATACTTTCTCGGTTCAGTGATTAGATCCACGAAAAACTGGGAAACTTAGTTCATATTGACTTTGTAAACTGACTGTGAATATAACTAACAATTTTGTGAAATAATATAACTATAACTTCTTGTGCTTTCGTGATTTGTGTGTGTCCTATAATTGGAGCGCGTGGCTGGTGACTCTTTGTTGTTGGAATCGGCTTATTTACGGTGAGTTTCTTGATATTTACTAATAACAAAGTAGTTTCAGTGAGTTAGAAGTGCCTCGAGAAGGTTTTAGTGATATAAAATGCAATGTGAGAGCTTTATTATCAAGAATGTGTTAGCGTCATTGATGCGGTTCTAGCGGCGCGGTGATTGCTTTGCTGTGGCGGTGGCTGGCGGCCGACGACATTATTCTCGCGGCGACGCCGACGCGTCACCTCTTGATCGCGTGAGAAAACGTGTTACTGGTGAATTGAATTTTCTAGAAATCTCCATAGGCCAATCCTAAATTTGGCGAAAATAGTTTTGACACAAGTTTTCAAGTTATTGAAAAGTTCTCAACATGTGCTCATAACGGTTATGACCCTAATTCAGTAAAATTGTGGGAGGTGCGTTCAAACGAGTTATCCAATCTAACTATTCTACGTGTATTTATGGATTTGTGATAACGCGGCATTATCAGGTGAGAACATAGAGATCTTTAAAATACCACAATGGTAATACCTAGTTCAAAAACTGATATTCAATTCACTACCAAATTGCGACACCTGTTTGTACTTTTATAAAAGAAAGAATAATGAATGATTACTTTTCAAACACATTGTAACATGTAAATACGTATAATTTATTTTCATTGTCTTCGAATAAAATTGCCGCCGAACTTCGCAACTGATACAAAAAGTGATATTGATGACCTGTCTAGAGATAAAATTGTCCAACGATAAGAAATGTACACTTATCCAAGTTGTACTCAATGAAATTGCAAATTATTTTGTCAATTTAATGTACCTAATTACTTCTTATTTGTATTTCAAGATAAGACTGTTCCATTTATTACTATCCAGACGCAACTACGTATTAATTCGTAATCGTAATTAAACAATTGCGTTTTGAACTCGTAAAATATACTGAACTTAGTATATTCGTATAACCTTTTCACCTACTTACTGAATGAATTGAAACACCACTTCAGCAACCATCCGTAGTGTCGAGTTAACTTTTATTAAACTTAATGCTATCATAAGTTAGTCGGGACAAACTTGATTAGAGTTCCAAAAATAATATACCACAGGTTTATTTCATAATGGAATAACTATCGTGGTTTGTATTGTAATGCAAACTTTTTCTGGATTTTGGGTTCTAGTTTCTGAGTTTGCTTGATGTGAATGTGTCAGAAATTACCATACAAAATAAGCACACAACGCGTTTTTATTTGATTCGACGTAAATTACACTCAAATCTATCATAATTCATACAAGACCTTAAAAAATGCCTACTTGATATTAATTTCGTTTTAAAGTTGCGTTTTGACATAACAAGTTTTGAACAAACAAATATAACGAGTGAAATGATACAATAAAAACAATAGTGTAAAATATTTGACGAAGTTTTCCTAAAAAGTACGCACACATGATTAAAAGAGTAAATTGTGTATTATATTAACTAATACAATAGGTCGCTGGTTTTACCATTCTAACCACACGACATTGTTCAAACTCTTACAAAAAATAAAATCAGTACGAAACTCTACCTACACAAAACAGTTTCTAACCAAAACTTTGTTAGGTGAAGTTTCAATGGATTTCATTAGAAACTTTCCACCTTTTATTATTTACCTATTTAGCTTTTTCATTTGTTCGGTTTTGCTCTTGTTTGAATTCTTTGCAACTTTTCATTAATTTGTTTGTACTTTGTAGTCTTTTTTTTAATAAAAGTAGGTTCGCCAAATTGTAGCTGGAGTTTGTTTCATAAGCTCGAGTTTTCATAATTTTGGACGAAGTTTTTCGCCGATTTATCGCTATTTCGTTTTCAGCAAAAAGTTTTATTGCTGTTTCCAATAAATGTTTAGCTTTGCCGACGGCGTCTGACGTAAACGTTCGTCAGAAATATTCAAAACTTATCTTTATGTCGTAGTATTTCTTATAGTCAGAAATAACAAATATGTAAACTGCCTTCGAAAACTTTGATGAGAGAAAATAGAAGTTTCCTCGCAGTTTCATGATGTCGTTAAGTATTCTTGGCGTATACCAAACTCAGTCCATTTCGAAGTTCGGCAACTTCACCAATCGTAGTTGCCCCTATTCATTAATAGGCAGTAGTGCCACGGACGTCTATTACGTTACGATGCAATCCAGAATAAACGTATCGCGCTCCCAGCGACGAATTCCCAAAAATGACACATCTATATTCGCCCCGACCACTCGTATACCTAAATGAATAATGTGCGCCGTCTAGAACGTTGGCTCTGGTTACCCATACATATTCACGTACATAACGCTCTTAGCAACGGAATTTATGTACTTTGTACGAGACACGCAATTCGAAATAAAAGCAACATTTCTCAAACCTTCCACCGAATCCGTATAAGTCCTCCGCTGAATGGCCTTTTAAAGAGCTCCGTGAATTTCATGCGAAAGAATGACACGCAAATTAAGATAGGTACTTACATAGATATTCTGTCATTTGCGGTTGTTGAACCACACGTAAGCATAATGTCGTTAGTTTGAACCGACCCGTCTAGCAAGGTACTTAGATATCGCATAGCAACTTATAGTTAGTTATACACATACATATGTACCGTGGCGTAAACAAAGAGGACGTGTAGTGTAGCGCATCGGTTCGCCTCGACCTATCTTTACACGCTATGTCAAGAAGTAACTAGGTATAGTCTAGTCTTATATCTAACTAGCTAGTGCAGATAACGATAGAGTAACTCCGCTTGGCTTGCCTTCGAGACTAGGGTTGGCAATTACGAACAACATGGAGAATTTCTTTTATAATAAAACTTATCGTGTTGTTTTTTCTTTTATACGCAACTTAATAATTTACTTATGATAATTCGAAACCAAACTAATGATGAATGACAAATGCATCATAGAAATTTCCCTAATTACTCGGAACATTCCATTTTAGATAACACCGTAATGACGTCTACAATCTATATTGTAACGCTCACATCACACGCTCTTTCGCGCGTGCCCATCCTACCGTTACACTAGACTTTTCCCACTCATTTTTCAACGTCCGTGTATTATAAATCGTTTATATGACATCCATGGAGCTCGCTTAGATACTTCTCGGTAAATAGACGGACGGACAGACCACATCCGTTAGTGCCGGTGTGATCGTGCACGTGTGTGTACGGCTCACACACATACGAGCTGCTCGACCGGCCTGGCGGGTTGTCGATCGGCAATCGATTGCGCGTTCCTTTTAAATACTCGCCTACAATCATCGCCACGATTTTATTTAGCTTTGTTTTCTCGCTCGAGGCCGTGGAAAGGTGTCTTCGTCGTATAGCGTGTTTTTTTATTATTTCCATGTTCGTCTTTATATTGCGGTTGGTAACTTTTATGGTTTCAATAGCGTTGGTACGGTTAAGTTATTCTATATTTGGTAATTGTTTTATTAGAATCGTAAAACACTCGGAATTTATATTATCAGAGTACACGTATTTTTATTAGATAATAGTTGGCATTAGCTAGTCTCTAATAAACATAAGAACCGGTGAAAACCAGACAAGCTTTTCTGATAATTCTTTCCTGTTACTAGTTAAAGTAATACCTATTCTCATGTATTTATTATTCGAGTTTGTTTAAGCATGCTAATCAGTATGACGTACATAATGCTCTGACATTCGCACAAGAAAAACTTTGTATTTTACACGTTCTCGTATTTCATTCACGTATGCTTTACTATCTGCATGAACG